GACACAGTGGATCTGTCCCCTCTCCTCCCCTTCTCCCCCACTCCAACTCAATAACCCAGTACTCTGCCTTCAGTCTCTATGGCACTGACTCCCTACACAGCCACCATCCTAGGATTTTTGGAAAAGCCATTTTACAATCAACACACCATGCCCAATCCCACCCATTATAATGATTCCCCTACAAATCCAAAGGATTCTTTATGAGGAATGGAAGTCTTTAAAACCTTTATAAAGCACAGCGGGCATGCTTGGACACGAGGAGACATATCTTCCCACGGCTCCTGCTCATTTCCTTCCTTTCCGCCCCTTCGCTAAAGGTAAGTAAACCATGGTGTCGGATCAGTCTTCAACTCAGCCTTTGAAACAGATACCGTGTGTGCAATGGCTAACCTGCTCCCCACCCCCACCACAAACTTTCCCCACTTTACCAGTGAAATGCTGAGTCCACCTCAGCCTTGCGTGTTATACTAATGTCCCTTGGAGTCAGTGAATGAAGAAGCCCAACTCTGAAAATCAAGAAACTCAGAAAAATAAAATAGTTTTCTTTGAGAATTTTTTTTTTTTTTCAGCTGGGTTTCGTGATAGCTCTCTAAAAGGCACATTATTTGTGACTGTTTTTAAAGATGTTCCAGATAGCAAGCCACTAAATACATAATAATCTCTGATTTAATGTGTCAGGATCAAATTATGACTTTGTTAAAGAGAAATGTTTGAGGCATCGTATATCTTTTTTTGTGAACAGCTTCACTAGTGGGTTAAGCATGCAATGAGCATCTGTGGTTAAAAGAGTAGAGACCAAGCTAGGGAGACAACTCGGTGTTCCAAGTGATCATAGTATTCCAGCATGAGGACAAGGGCTCGGATCCCAGTACCCACAGAGACGAGGATGAGCACAATGGCCTTGCTAAAAAGGTCCAGCACTGGGAAAGTGGAGATAGGAGATCCCTGTCAGAGTGGTCATGTTGACCAACTCCAGGTTCAGTTGAGAGACTGCTTCAGTGAATAAAGTGGAAATGAATACATGCGTGCACACACATATGCACATACATGTTAACTCATACACATGCAAACACATGTACACATACACACACAGGAGACAGAAATAAACAACTACTCGTGAAGACTCCTTTGAAATAGGAATGAGGTTTCTGATTTGCTTTTAAAATGTTTATTTTTGAGAGGGAGGAAGAGGGAACTGGGATCAACATGTAAAATAAGAAAAATAAAGAAAGAAAAAATGTTTATTTAAAAATTAATTGTGGGGTTGGAGAGATGGCTCAGTGGACAAGAGCATGGGCTGCTCTCTCTGAGAACCTGGGCTCAATTCCCTGTACCCACAAGACAGCTCATAACAGCTCACAACTGTCATTAACTCCTGTTGCAGAGAATCTGACACCCTTACACAGACATGCAGCCAAAACACTAATGCACATAAAATAATAATAGTAATAATAAAGATTAAATTTTAAAAATTAAATTGCAACAAATTAGTTATTACTAAAGACCACTTGAGTGTTTGGTCTGTCTCCCAGGTACAAAGAATTCACAGAAACTGTCACTTCACAGTCAAGTCTGGTGCCAGGGAGTATACCTCTACCTCTGCATTCCCTAAACAGCCACCTACCCACCTGCACACCCTGAAGACTGCCTGAAATGAGAGAAAGCCAAAAGCAGCTTGACACCTGTGACCCTGTGACCGAGGCACACACCTGACAACTGAGGGTGTGAACGGAGGTATTCTTCAGTTAAACATGAAGACATTACAGCTGAAAATGGAGACACACTCTTGGGGACACACTCACCAGTTTTGGCCCATCTCAACATCTTCCAGCCAGGATTAGAGCAAAGCAGAAATGGAGACCAGAGGCACATTTCTATTTGCACAAAAGCTTTCTGTCTACTGCATTTTTCTTTGATCACATTCATAACGGCAGACTCAGATCCACCCATCCTAAGAGCCACAGGCAATAACAGGAACAGAGTGAGGGAAGAAAACGGAGGCTGTGCTACAGCCCCTTCTTTGCAGTTGGTGTAACGCGAAAATGTGGGACCTGACAAAGGTTAAAGATTTCAAGATGGCAATATAGAACATAAAGCCAAGTTCAGAGCCTTGCTGTACATCAGGCCACATGATCCTGGCTGTCCAGGTGGCAGAACCATGATGCCAGCCTTGTTTATGAGAGCACCTGACAGGCACCCTGGATGCCAGACCAGTGACAGACCATTCTACAGGAAGCGAAGGAGAGCAACACAAACTTTTACACCATCAATCAATCAAACACACGGAAATGAAATAAAACCTGCTTGGAGTTACATACAGCTCTTTGGTGGTGAGTTCCAGCTGCCTAGCAGGAAGTCTAACATGGTATAGGTACTTAATGGAAGCAAACTGGAAAAGGAATGTAGGGAACACATGTGGTCAGTGGTAGAGCACTCACTCAGCCTGTACGAGACCGAGAGTTCAAACCCGGGTACCACAAAAGAAACAATAAAAGGAATGCAATCAGCAACTGCCTTGTAATGAAGATCCCATCTTCCTTGGGAATGCAACCCTGCACTCGGGAGGCAGAGGCAGATGCAGGCAGATCTCTATGAGTTTGAAGCCAGCCTGGCCTACAGATCGAGTTCCAGGACAGGCTCTAAAGAAATACAGAGAAACCCTGCCTCCAAAAAAAAAAAAAAAAAAAGAAAGAAAGAAAGAAAAAAGAAAAAAAAAGAAAGAAAGAAAGAAAGAAAAAGAAAATGGTCTTGAAAAACAAAAACAAAACAAAGCAAAACAAAAATGCCTACTTGACTACCTGTGATTGACTGTGCTTTTCTCCTTTCTTATTTGTCAGGAAGCCACCTTCCTTCTTTGTCTCATCACACTGCCTACACAAAAAAAGTGAGGGACTGGATTCCAGTGTCAGAGACATCTTGGAAGTGTCTGGCAGAAACAGGGCTGTCAGAGACATGCCAACCCACAGTGGGAGCAGAGTGGGCAGGGGGTGTGCCAAGGACAATGCATGTCTTCCTAGAGGGGCTCCCCACTTCCAAGCCCATGGCAAGCTTTAAAACTCCATCAGGGAGCTGGTCTGGAGGGAAGGCTCAGCAGTTAAGAGTGCCTGCTACTCTTCCAAATACCTGAGTCCTGTTCCTAGCACCCCGGCTGGAGGCTCACCTGTGAACTCTAGCTCCAGGTGAGATGCCCTTTGTGGCCTCTGTGGGCACTTGTACTCATAATGCACATATCCACACACATACACATAATTAAAAATGAATCTTTTTAAAAGTCTTCATCAGATGACATTGTAAAAGAACTGGGGAACAAAAATAAGGCATAAAGGGCCATGGAAACAGCCTTAATAAAGCTTCTAGAGGGGACACTCTAGCGCTCTTGAGACTGCAAAATCTATGGGGAAAGCAGGTTCTGACCACGCAAGGAAGGATGAAGGATGAAGCTGGTAAAAGCATGAAGACTAAGTCCAATCCCCAGAGTCTACAGAAAAAAATCCAGGCACAAGAGCATACACTACCAGAGAGGCAGACTAGATTCCTGGGGCTCAATGGGGGGCCAGCCTGGCCTAACTGCCAAATTCTAGGTCAATAAAACCCTGTTTAAAAAAAAATAAATAAAGAGAGAGAGAGAGGAGGCCAGAGGTCGATGCTGGATATCTTTGCTGAATCGATTTCAATCTTAAGTCTCAGACAGGGTCTCTCATGGGACCTGCAGCTCACTAATCCAGCTAGGCTGACTGCCCAGCGAACCCCAGGTCCTTTCCTGTCATCCACTCTTCAGCTTTTGTGGGACCTGAGCCATCTCACAGCCATCATTTCATATCTTTGATGATTTACTCAGTTGTCACCTTAACCTTGGGCCTGACTACTCCATTTTTTTTTCTCTAATGTCCTCAGTCTCCTGTCTGGCTTACCCCATCATGAAGAGATGTGGCCCAGTGGGTGAGATGAGACAATCTCAAATTAACCACAGAAAGCCACACTTTCCAATTCTCTACCTCAAAACTGGTGGATGAACCCTGGGTGCACCAGTCTCTGCCCAACTCTTCTTCTGGCTCTGGAGTTGCAGATCCACACTGCCACACCCACATTTTACACAGGTTGGGAGGATGCCAACTGATGTCTTTATTTTTGGGCAGCAGTTCCTTTACCCACTGGGTCATACCCACAGGAGGAGGAGGAAACATAAAAATTTCAACTGTGTAGTCATTTGAGAAATTTACAATCCTGAAGTGCACACAGTGAAAAATAATGGGATATTCTCTGCTGTCCTCTAAGCACATCACTGGCTTAGTTTCTCCAGAGTTCCCAATGCCCAAATCTAAGCAAAGAAAAAGTACTACTGGGCTTCTGGCGCGCACGCGCGCACACACACACACACACACACACACACCCGCCAGAAACGTCCACCTGATGAGTGACTCCCAGGAACTGTCACAAGCATCTCTTGCCACCATGCACACCGTACTAATACCAACAAAATGTGGTTTCCTGTCCTCTGAGGATCTGAACTTTATGAACATCTGCATTACCTACAAGGATATAAGACAGCTTGTCCAGGTCCCAGTCTCTACCATGCTGACTCCTGTCCTGTGTATGTAACAGCACATAAGGAAAGCTCTTGCCCTCTCCACATGTTGTTCTGCTCAACTTTACTTCCACCTTTAGAACCATCTTAGTACTCAAGTGCATTTGGGGAAGTGGGTGGAGTAGACAGAACAGAGTTAGGGGGTTAGTTTTCATTAAATTCTAGCATACATTACTCGACTTAACAACCCTAACAAATACTTCTTTGCCATTATACACAAAATTCTACCTGTCTTACCTGGCATTAGCGGCACAGGTAAAACCAGAATTCTACTGTCTACTGTCTACTGGCAGACAACCTCTATGTACCCGCCCTGCCTGCACACGGGACTAAATCAACCAGCACACCTGCACTTTGCCAGAAGCCTTTCATTTACCCACATCCTTACTGGGGACTGGAGCAGGGACACACTTACCTTGTGGCCTCCTGGTGAAGCCATGACACATTCGGCACATAGAACATGACTCCAAAGAAAAGCAGAGGCTCGTTAGCAAGTTTGTCCAGATGTTTCTTGAGCGGCTTCTCCAGCTCCACCCATCTCGCTTGCTGGCTCTTGCTGAGGAACCAAAGGCCGAAATAGTTTGTCTGGATAAAGAGTAAAATGGTGTCAGTCTGTGCTTTCTCACTGAGGCCCTAGGCCACACAGAAGACAGGCCCTCCGCACTTGTGTCCCCAGAACTCCGAGTGAGACCTGGGGCACCCCTACAAGGATCCACATGACACAGTGTCCCGCATGGAAGTCCAGGAGCAGCACTCCTAACCACTTTCACTGTTGGCTCATGTGGGTCCCCATAAACTCATGTTAGGTGAGGGGATAAGGTAGACTGGAGACAGGGCTGGCTTCGAGTATGTTTAGGTACAGGTGTGTACAAGCATCTGGGCACAGAGACCAGAGGTCACCCTGGGGTGCCCCACCTCAGGCACTAGCCCCCTTGGCTTTTTAGACAAGATCTCTCCCTGGGACCTGGGCTTCACTGATTAGACTAGGCTGGCTGGCTAGTGAATCCCGGTAGCCTCCTGTCTCCACCTCTCCCCAGGATTGGGATTACACGTATGCCCAGCACACACACCTGGCTTTTTCAGATGGATGCTGGGGGTTGGACTCAGGGCCTTGAGTTGTCTCCCCAGTTCCAGAACTTACTTCTTGCTGAGTCTACAAGGACGACCCACTCACTGTGTGATCTCATGCACACTGCAGAGTGCTGGCCGAGGCCAGGGTAATTCTTGCATCTACCGTACAGTGACTTCTTACTCACCTCTAAAGACAAACCCTGCTAGCTAGGAGCTCTCCTGCGCTACAGAAAGTTCTCACAGTCCATCAGATCTAACCCCAAAGCCACCTGCTCTGTCTGTACTTCAATGAGTACTTTGAAAGCTGTGCCCTGTACCATTTCATTATATGTGAATTACGAGACGACGTTTCTCCCCCTACCAAGCTTTGAGGCTGGAAGGCTCTCCTCTCCACAGCTGCCCCCAACGCCATTGGGGGCTCCTGGCAGATTACGGTGGCATTTGATGGATCAAAGTGTGATTATCACCCTAAAACTTGAACTATGGACCAGCTTGGCTAGGAACAGTGTACCAGATGAGAAACAGGCACCTTCAAGCACCCAATCCTGCCTTTTTATGTACATGTGCTGGGCTTTCAGGATTAGTGCAAAGAAACAGATCGCTGCTTCTGAAGATGCCTTTGTGTTTCGATTATGGAGCCGGGCTGGTCGGCAGCACACCTGGCCCTCTGCCTTCAGAAGAATGTTTTCATTACCAAGTTTCATTTCCAAAGGCATTCACTCCCTGTCCTCACTGCAGCTGGCTGCCCCTCCAGCAACCACTACCAAAATCGCCAGTGAAGCCCTGGCCCTGATTGCTTGGCACACCAGGTGTGCCCTGTCCTGTGACAGCCTGGCCTCTGAAAGCCTGGGCACCACAGACCTGCTGGGATGTTTTTCTCAGAGGGGTGCACCCACCATGGTGCTTCAAAGGGCAGGCTAGGTCTGTACCTTCTCAAGCTACAAAATGCAATACCCAGTGCTCCAGTGATGATTCTGTCAACTCACACAAAGCTAACTGAGTCCATTCACACCCAGCTGCTTATGTCTGGGAGCCCATCTGTGTTTCCAACACAAGAGATGACACAGCAAGGTCTACAGGTCACCGCAAAGAAGGGCTCTACAGCTCATCTACCTCTAGATGTGCGCTCTCTCTCTCTCTCTCTCTCTCTCTCTCTCTCTCTCTCTCTCTCTCTCTGTGTGTGTGTGTGTGTGTGTGTGTGTGTGTGTGTGTGTGTGTGTCTGACTCTATATACAAAGGAACCCCTGGACTCCAGAGCTTTGTCTCTAAGATGAAGTGGCTGCAATTCTTATCATAGGCAGCAAGGAACACTAGCTACCTAATTAATACCTGCCACCCATGTCTACAGCCCATAGCAAGCACTTCATCAGGCAGGTCACATGACTCTTTACTGCCTCTTTTTTAGCATCAATATAGTCATGGTTTAGATCTAGAAACAGTCCTCTGTGAGTGCACACGCGCACACACACCATAAATGTACACAGAGACAAAGAAAACAGGTTAGTGGCTCACACCTATAACCCTAGCACTTGGGAGGCTGAGGAAAAATGATCAAGAATTTGGGGTCCACCTAGGTTACAGAGTCAAGACCCTACCCCAAAACAACAGACCAGAGAACAAACCAGAACTGGTGGTACATGCCTATAACCCTAGCCCTTGGGGGTGGGACTAAGAGGATCAGTTCAAGGTAATGCTCAGCTACATAGGGGATCCGAGGCCAGCCTCAGCTCCAAGAGATTCTGTCTCAAACACAAAAGAAGTCAACAAGAACAAAACCACACACAGAAGCAAACAGGGAAAGAACCTGAGAAAAGGCTGAAGGATGCTGGACTAACTACAGACAACAGAAAGGCCTTAAACACACAAGAAAAATAACTGTGGTAGCTTCTGAAAGTCTTGTTGCAGGCACTTCTGGGATACTGCCACAGCTGTGTGGTGCTGATGTGGCTGAAAAGGGGTCAGAGATGTGAGCACAGGTTAAGTCCAGGACCAATGCAAGGGCGCCTCAGTGCTTGCCTGGAAAGGGTCCAGTTCCTGCATTGAGGACAGCACTATGCAAGGGTCTCTCCCTGTATCTGGAGTGACTAGGAGCGCTTGCAAATGAAAACTGAGGGGCTACACTTAAGTTGTGACATATAATTACGTAGTAATTTCTAGAGTTATGAGAGAACCCTTTTGTGTAGAAGAAGGGAGCACACAGCCCAAGACAGCTTCACTAGAAATAGTGTTGACATGTGTGCCAGACCTTTACGCTCCATACTTCATCCTAATCACAACATTCATTCAAATCTGTGATATTCAAATTATGAAGGGATGGTAATAACCACAAGAACAACTCGGCAACCCATGCGGAGAGGAATTTTTATTTTTACTTTTCAAAAATTTACCTATTTCATGTGTTCAACTGTTTTGCATGCATCTATGTCTGTGTGGGGCCCCAGAAGAGGATATCAAGTCCTCTGGAACTAGAATTGCAAATGTTGTGAACTACCATGTGGGTGCTTAGAATTGGGCCCAGGTCTTCTCCAAGAACAGCCAGTCTCCCAATGACACAAAGCAGTTCCTGCTGATTACCTACACAGTTATCTTATGAAACAGTTACAAAACTACTTGAGAAATGGGGCCCTACAATAAAGAGGCACTACCACGTGACCCAGGAATACATGCAAAGGGACTTCAGATGGCACGTTTCCCTTCAGCCAAGTCATAGAGTCAGTCTGGGTGTCAGTCAACAGATAGATGTGTCAAGAAAATGTCTCACACACACACACATACACACATACGCACACGCACACTCACACGCACAGGCACGCATGTGTTCATGTATACATATATCACGGAGTTTAACTGAGTCATCCTAACAAATTGTTGGGCTCAGCTATCTTGCAGGAAGAAAAGCCCATTCGTGAGATTTCCAGCTTCACTCTAGTTTTATAATTTGCACCCAACAAAGCCTCCTCCATTCTTGCCTACTTCCCTCATCCCTCCTCTGGCTGTGTTCCACACTGGAGTGCAAAGACTCTGCCCCAGCTCCTTACACGGCTTTCCTTCAGGTTACAGTACAGCACGGGTTTATCTAGCCCACACCTCTACAAGGTGCACTATAGGAAATGAAATCAGACCATACAGTCTCCATCCAACTATCTTGTGTATCAAGCAACCCTCACCCCATGCCTGGTACAAGGAACAGTCTCTCTTAAAGTTCAGTCCAGTATGGGTCCCCAGGTTTCACAACTGGGCACTGCCACACGGCTGTGTGAAATGTTGCTGAAGCTCACAAACAGAAACCATCTCATTCCTCTGAGAAAGGCCTAGAACGCCAGCTTTCTATCCAAGGCACCAAGCAACCTAAGGCAGACCTGGCTGACCCTCTGGTTACCCCTGAGCATAAATCCCACATCGTATTTTAGTTTTAAGCCGGCGGCAGCCACAGTGCCTCGAGTTCTATAATGACGAAGAAAGAAGGCAGTAAAAACCGGTTCCCAGCAAGAGCAGCTGCATCTCTGAGTCGATGACTAGGAACCAGCTGAGTTAGAACAGCACAGGGAGGGCCATATTTTCATGTGAGCTTGCCCTGAGTTTATTCGGAGTCTCGCATTTTAACAGAAGTATAAATGTCTATATGTAGTGAAACGCCAGCTAGCTTTTGCAGTGGCAGACAGGTTTGCCACAGTGCCAGCCCTCCTGGTAATGACTGCGGACCGATGCAGGTAATGAAGACTTGCCAAAAGAGAGCAGGTCAGCTAGTGCTGAGACCTGAGCATGAAATGTCCCCACAAACCTTGTGTTTGAACACTTGATCCCCAGCTGGTGGCACAGTCTTCGAGAAAGTTGTGGAATATTCAGGAGGTGTAGAATGGGTTGCTGGGAGTGGGCCTTGAAGTTTGATTGGCAGGTCCCACTTCCTGACTGCTCTCTGCCTGGCTGTGGAAGCAACGTGACCAGCACACTGGTGCTGGCATGCCTTTCCCCCTATAACGTAGTCTATCTCTTCAAGCATGAGCCCAAGCAAGTCCCTTCTTGAGTTGCTCTTCCAGACACTGTCCGGTAATAAGAAAAGCAGGAAAGTCTCCGGGGAACCCTGTCCCTTCTCACTCTTCTGTGGACCTTAGAGTACTCTGAAGAAAACAGGTATTAAAAATAGTATGGAGTGTTGTTGATATGAATCCTTTTTATTGTGGTGCTGGGGATCAAACCTCAGACCTGGCACATGGCAGACAAGCACCCTACCCCTAGCTGCATCCCGCCCCGCCTTCAGCCACTCTTTCAGTGAGATGATGTAATTGCACACACTATTCACGGCAGAAGATTGTTGAGGGTTCGGTTGCTCCAGTTTTGTGACCCATGGCATGGCTTTAATGCTGTCTGTGAGGGTTACACATGCCGTCCTGGCAATTACGAGGGATTAGAGCCTTGATCTTAATGCAGGCATTCTGAAGAGGCAATCAGCCAGAAGCAAAAGTTTAGAAGATCTTGCGTTAAGCTCCAACAGGCTGCCCGCCTCACCCGGTATTTCAGTTGTCAATCAAGAAGCAGAGCTGCTATGGCCCCACCTGAGAGAAAGAAAGTAGTTGCGAACAAGCACTGAAGGCTTCTCTCGGGCATGAGAAATAACTTCAGACACAGCCATAAAACTCTTCCTGCTATGTTCCAGCGACTCTGGAAAGTACGTCACTATCTTCCACAGCTGGAGAACTGTAGGGCCATCTTGTATGCACCTAGTCTCTGTACTGGTTAGGTCTAGGGATTGATTCTAGAACACATCTATAAACTAACCAGAGGACCATCCTCATTCTTAACAGCCAATGTCTTCACAAAAATGCAGGAAAACAAGCTGTAGCTGTGACAATGAGCCACAAAGACAAGAATGACCGTGGCCAAGCACGTGCTCTCCTGAGGCAGACTAACTCCCTCAGAACACATCCAGTGAGAAAGGCTTAAGAAGGAAGGCTGAGAAATAACCACCAACGTTCTTACTAAAAAGGAGGTACAGCTATCACTGCAGCAGAATCCAGGCACTAAGCTAGCTAAGACTTCCAATTATAATATCCACAAGACAAGAAATCAACACAAAATCCAAAATCCATAAATTTCCCCACATACAACCTACTCTCAGCACACTAGGCATATTGATACTTAAAATGCCGTGTGTGTGTGTGTGTGTGTGTGTGTGTGTGTGTGTGTGTGTGTGTGTGTGTCACAGTGTATATGTAAAGGTTAGAGGACAATTTGTAAACATCAGTTCTCTCCTACCATGTGGTTCCAGGGATAAAACTCAGACCATTAGTCAAGCTTGGTACCAAGTACCTTTACCCATGGAGCCATCTATTTTAGTGGGTTTTTGTTTTGTTTTGTTTGTTTTTGTTTTTTTCCAAACTTGACACAAACTTAGACATACCTGGGATCTTAACTGAGGAGCTGTTTACACCAGATTGGCCTCTGGGCATATCTGTGGGGCATTTTTCTTCATTAATGATTAACCCACTATGGGCAGTGCTATTCCTGGGCAGGTAGTTCTAAGCTGTATAAGAAAGTAGACTGTTCAGCTTTTATAAGCTGAAGAAACCAAGGAGAGCAGGCCAGTAAGCAGCACCCCTCCGTGGCCTCTGCTTCAGCTCCTGCCTCCAGGCTCCTGCCTTTAGCTCCCAACAGACTGCCCTGGATGATGGACTGTGAAGTGTAAGATGGAATACACCCTCTCCCCCTGGAGACTCTTTTCTTTCCATGAGTGCTTTATCACAACAACAGAAAAAGCAAAGCAACACATCTCATCGGCCCCTGTGCTGATTGTTTTAAACTCCAGCTGTGGCTGCGTGGATTGCAGAACTCAAGTAGATTCCACAGGTAGGGGAATGAGGTTTCCCTGTCAATCAAATAGTCCCTACATGGGACAGTCACAGTTGTTACCAAGCTCCAGGAGATTAACATCAATCAAGCCACACCCCTCTCAGTAAAGTGAGCTCACCTTTCTTTGATGAGAAATGCATGCCAAGTCCCTGTGTCTCTAAAATCTTTACACATTGGAAGATGAATGATACAGCTGATAGCTTTGGATAAAACACACATTCGTAAAAAGAAAAAGGCTAACTTGGGTAAAAAGTACCCACAAAATACAAGGCCAGTGGAGAGCGGGGAGCAATCCTGTGTTGGGCCTTCCTACTTCTGATTTTGGGTATGCAGAGCCTGTTCTTTCTCCTTTAATTTGGGAGAGGCTGGGATGGACTAGGAGGGGTCATGGCTCCAATGTTATCTGTCACAGGACGAAAGGGAAAGACCCAAAGAGAAAGTTATTTGCTCAAAGGTGACAAACTCTGTTGAGTGCAGTCAGGACAAAGCCAGCACAAAGGCTGAACCACACCTTAAGGCTGAGCTGTCAATCACACAACAATGCACACTTGACAGGAGCTTCTGAACTGCTCCCTTTATCCTAGTTGATGAGGGTTGCCCTCTGACCTCTCAGAGGGAAGCCAGGGCTGGCAGAAAGGAACTGATATGCAGGCATGCATGCACTGGTGTCCCAACACCCCTCAGCTTTCACTGCTCCTCAGGGCTTAGCTGGTAGATGGGAGAGATCCCTTTGCAACCCCCCCCATACACACTGCCTCCACCACCCCACCTTCAACCAGCCCCTCAGGGCACCCCTGGGGGGGGACAGCTGCCCTTGACTTCCTCCTCCCTGCAAATTCAGCTCACTGTGCTAATGACGACCCTTCATCTTTTCTACCTGGATGCCTAATGTGGCCTTCAGGACTGTGTGTGTGTGTGTGTGTGTGTGTGTGTGTGTGTGTGTGTGTGTGTGTGTAGCCATGTGGAGGCCAGAGGCTGACACATCACAATGTGCCCATGGGCTTTACTTTTGGAAAGGGTCTCACTTCAGCTAGACTGGCTGCTCGCTAAGCCCTAGGAACACACCCATCTGTGTCTGCACCCTGGTTCTGGCTTACTGTCACTCGATGTCACACTTAGCCTTCATCCTCCTGAATGGAGTGTTAGCACCCAGGGCCACTGAGCCACCCTGGTCTCCTTCCAGGCAGGCTTTGACCCCATCAGACACCAGTCTATACATTGAGTGACTAAGGACAGGCACCATCCTGGCCTTACTCTCTGATATGCTTTAGTGCAGGTGGCATTCAGTGTTCACCTGTCACCTACGAGTTGGACCCAACCCTCCCAATGTTCCCATCAAGTCCTAAGGTAGTCACTCGACTTTTATTTAACCACTTTTAAAGACATTTAAGTGTGAACAATTATGAATTACTAGACACAGCACTGCAACACTCCATATTTCCAGACAGAATGACTTTTAAGATTGACAAGAGGACCACCAAGCAAGCGTCACTATTCACAATTTACAGATCAGGAAACAGAGGCCAGACAGGTTCAGTATTTCTCCACAGTCACTCTGCAAGTAAGCTTCAGAATCATAATCTGAGCCAAGGCCAACACAACAAACCCTACCTGTGCTCACAGCTATTTGCATACATTATAATAACTCCATGAATATGAATGACCTGATACTAGGACTAGGAATGGTCAAAAAGCAAAAACACTTCACTACTTTTCCAGTGTTACATAATTTAATATATTAGGAATTTAGATATGTTTAAGTCTGTATACCCCAAAACTCCACCACTTAACAAAGGACAGCTGCTAGCTGCCCCAGGCACGGCCAGTACTTTTACCAGTCTTTTCTCATATCAGCAGCCTAGCTCTACTCATCTGCTGCCTAGGACAACCTCTGGCTACATATGGAAATGAATCTGAACAGACAACCCACCCTAATGCTGAAGCTACAATCCAAACATGAAGGACAGCTAGGAACAGAGGTGTTCGGGAACAAAACCCTCCCAGAGAACCCGGTCACCCTGCAGAAGAAGGTGCAAGAAGGGCTGGAACTCAGGTATAGAACGTGACCATCCACTTCTTCTGTCCCCTGGACCCCAGGGAGATCCCAGGGTCCTCTGGGCTTCCCGGTCCTCAGGGGTTTCTGAATCTCAGGGATCTTGTGTCACTAAGTGTAGGCTACTATTTGCCCACATCCTGCCCACCAGCCGATGAGTCATGTGGCTATCAAGACTGAAAACGCTCAAGCGTGGACTCCTTACAAAGGATTCTCATCCCAAATGCCTGGGAGATGGAGAGGTACCCTTGTCACAGTGGCAGCACACTGCACCAAGTTCCTTCCATCAGTGACCTGCCAGCATGGTGGTACATGGCTGTGGTCCTAGCTGGGAGTCTGAGACAAAAGGAGGAATCTGAGACTTAGGTAGGAGGCCTGCCTGGGTCACAAAGTGAGAGCCTGCCTCCAAAAACCAGAATGAACACCAAAAAGAATGGCATGCATAGAGCCCAAAGGAAAAAACCCCTATTTTAACAGCTCTCCCTAGGGATGAGAAGATAGCTCTGGCAATGAAGTACTTAACAGACAAACAGAGGGGTGTGAGTTCAATTTCCAGAACCCACATAAACATCCCAGGTATGGCATGCTTGGAGTTCCAGAGCTTCAAGGTGTGGAGCCCAGAAAGGAGGATCCCTGTAGATTAGACAATCCAACTCCAGGCTTAGTGACTCTGTCAAAGGATGGGACAACACTCCTGGGAATGTTACCCATGGCTGGCTGTCCTCTACCATGCACACATACACACAGACACACACATACATGTATGTGCACTTGTATCTTTTTTTTCTAAAAAGTGCTTTCGCGATGTCTCTGGGTCACTCCCGCTTTAAATGTAATTTTGCTCCTTTTCTTTGGGTGGGAGAAGGATACTGAGACAAACAAAAGGCAGCTGTGGCCATCCATCCGGAACGTGGGTGGCTTCTCCTTGTGCGGCAGCCACCAAACCCCAATGCCAATTACCCACTCAACTGTTTTAAAGGGGGGAAAGAGACTCTGGTGGGGAGAGTCTCACATTCTTACCTCCCCCTAAAAATCTCACAAGGGAAACAAAATGAAACCCCCTTCCCGGCACGGACTGTGGGCCCTTCCCTCTGGCATCAGCACTGGTCCCCTGAGCCACCGGGAGTTTGGTTAGGTCACACCCATACTAAGAACAGCAGGTTCTTCTAAACACAACACTTAGGCTAAAGACAGGGCAGGTGCCAACATGTTGGCAGATAGCTGGTTCTTTTGAGTCCCCTTTCATCCCCCCTGTCCCCCCCACACACACAGGGCCACGTGCTTGACTCACCTCCCGCAGCTCCAGCCTCTGGGCCACCGCCTCAAGGCACTCCTGCCCAGTGCTTTCCACAGACAGAGTGCACTCGATGACATTGCTGTCCAGCAGGCGGATCCGGGTAACAAAGCAGTTCTTGCTCAGGACATTGTAGCGCCGAGTCCTGCGAAGCTTCAGGCCGAAAGGCATGGTTCTGCGGCCCAGGGACACCGCCCTCCTCTCCTGGCACCAGTAGCCCTTAGATGGCCTTAGTAGTTTTGTGTTGGAACGGTCACACTAAGGTAGGGGAAAGGTGTCCATGCCCACCAGGCCTTCTGCAGGACAGCTGTGGAGGAAAGAGAGACAATCTGATCACGCCTGGATTGGAAGAGAAGCTGTCAGTGGTGCACACAAGCACCCAGGGGGGTGAAGAATCAGACTCAAGCATCTTGGAGCTTGGCAGCTCCTATGTGCCTTGTTGGAGGCCGTGCATCCTTCTTCTTTTCTTTTTTCTCTGAGACAGGGTTTTTCTGTATTGCTTTGGAGCCTGTCATAGAACTTGCTCTGTAGACCAGGCTGACCTCGAACTCACAGAGATCTGCCTGCCTCTGCCTCCTGAGTGCTGGGACTAAAGGTGTGTGCCCAGCATATGCATCTCACCCTCTCTCATCAAGGTGAAGCTCAAGAAGACCTGGGAAACAGGTACTAAGCAGGAAGAGATGCATGGCAGATACACAGTGCCTCCAGACTCCAGGGCAGCCCACACTCCCATTCACACGGCCACCTTGAGCCTCTGCACATGAAGAGGAATCGGGAGAGCTGAGCGGCTCAGGATAGTCTCTTGTTCTAACTTCATGTAGAGCCACGTGATATAAACTTCACTGCGCTTTTGTACAGGCCAGGGGCCAGAGATGGCTCAGTGGGAAAGGTGCTTGCCACAAAGCCTGACAAACTGAGTCGCCAGGGTCTACAGGGCAGGAACAGAGAGCCAACGCCCACAATGTGTTCTCTGAGCTCCAAGTGTGTACCTTGTCATACACATGAGCACATGAACACATTTACATAAATGAATGTATGTAATAGAAAATGATAGTACAGTGACAAACACAATATGGTGACTGGAGCACCAATGAACTAAACATTTCATCTTGTTCCCACCCTACGACAAGTTTCTGTTTTAAAAACTTTTTAACACTTAATTTAATAGCTATTTACTTAGGATGTACGATGTGAATGGTGACAGCACATATTTAACCTAGATAATTTCTATTCTTTAATATACAATATTGAGTTCTCACTGCCACCTTTTGTTTTGATGCTGAGGATCAAACCCAGGGCTTTGCCTCTACTAAGCCCATATGCCCTCTATGAGCTACATCCCAGTTCCCTAAAATATACGAATTCTTCAGTGTTAAAAAATTCTTACTGTGTCACCCATTACAGATCATTTAACCCACTAGTAACAAGACTGACAAGTACCTGATGTCCCACCAAATGAAAATCACGACAAACACGAAGAACACAAGCATCAAACACCAAGCAAGGTGGCTTTACCATCGCCCTGAACCAGCGATGCTCTGGTCCGGAGGCCCAGGAAAGGTGTCTCTCAACAGGGCCAGCAACAAGCACAGAGAGCTTTCCCATCCAGCTGCCTCTCTGCTAGGCTCAGAGGGCTATGGCTGGCGGGACTGACAGCTAACTCAGGCAGGTGCAAACAGGCTTAAGCCCCTGACACTGAACTGTTCCTAAACAGACACATAGTAACCACTGGGACCTACAGGAATCAGAGGATGGATAAGTGAGCTGTCTTCCATATTTATAAGCGCTCCCTGCCAGAACCCCAGGCCTCCTGAAGGTTGTCAGGGTATAACCCTACAACACAGCAAAACACACTCCCAGCCTCCCTCGGCAGGCTTTGATATGCGCCCTCGGCACATTCCTGAGCATGGCAGGTACATGTTTTATGGTAGCCAGAAGTGCTGGCTTGGTAAAATAGATTAACATTTCTAACCACTTTATGTTGGCAGAGTAGCATGTTTACTTCCAAGCCACACCAGTCTGATCTCCTGATAGGGACAGAGAATATGGAGGGACCCACCCAAAGGGGGGAAACGAGGGGAAGCCAAAATATCCTCAAGTGTTTTCTGGTGAATTCCCCTCCACTCACTGAAGCACAGGCCAGGCAGGCTAAGATTCAATACCTATGTTAAGACAGCCTTACAGACAGAAATGTTTGCTCCCCGGACACCACTGCATTTCTCTTCCTGGGCCAGGCACTTTACATTTGGGTGTGTCTCTCTTAAACACCTATGAAAGAATGTGGCTGGCTTGGTACCCAGCTATCCTAGCAAAAACAGTCTCTCCGCATATTCTAAAGCATGACACAATGCACAAATGGCGAAACAGCCACCAGATCCCCAGGCGAGTGTGTGTGCAACTGCTGTTCTTAAAAACGACCAGCATGCACCCACAGAGAAGACTATTCATTCAGCAGTTACTGTCTGGGGCCGTTCGGTGATGCAGGGGGACTCAGCTGTGTGTCTTTATACACCACTTTTCAACCACATTGTTGATGGCCTCCAAAATGCCTTTAGAAGTGTCTATTGTCAGAGGTAATGAACAACCTGGCATCATGGACCCTAGAAAGTATCTATTTCACTTTAAAAATAAATAAATGAAAGAATTTCTGAATCTTTGATTTGCAAGATAAAAACAAAACAAAACAAAACAAAACAAAAAAAAAAAAAAACAAGAAAATTGGTCTGGACCTTTAACAAGTCAACAACTAAAAACAAGTATCAAACGGGAGGTAGAAGGCAACAGGAAACGCAAGCTGCTTCCCAGGCAGAAAGTGGAGAAACTGGGAAAAATAAAAAGGTGATGTGTTGATTTTGAGTTGGGGGTGACGGGACTAGAAAAGACTGGAGGCAAAAATCAAATAAATAAATAAACAAACAAACAGGGAGAGTGAGAAATTACATCATTGTTAATTTTTTGGTCTTTATTGTGCGTGTAGCACAAGTGTGGGTATGCACAGGTGCACACTTACTATGGAGGTCAGAGTGCGATGTCTGGCAGATGTTTTCACATGGGTCTCAAGTCTGTATACCTGCCAGGCAAGCCCCATGCCAAGCTATTACTCTAGCCTCAATTTTCTGTGATTTCTGATAGTAGAATTGTAGTTATATAGGAGAGAGAGATGCTAGGAGGTACCAGTAGCTCTATTGTGAGCAAAACTGTCAGAATGGAGGTTTGAGAGATGGCTAGGCAATTAAGAGCACTCACTGGCTGCTCTTGCAGAAGACCCAGGTTCAATTCCCAGCACCCAGATGGTAGCTAACAACCATCTGTAAGTCCAGTCCCAGGGGATCTGATGTCCCCTTCTGGCCTCTAAGGGCACTGCAGACACATGGTTCACAAACATGCATGAAGGCAAAGCACCCATACATACAAAATAAAAATAAGAGAAAAAAGTTTAGATGTCATGATGCCTGTAAGTTTTAAGTGGTATGTATATTATGTATGTGTGTACACACACAAACACATGGTGAACACACACACTGGACTGACTGCTGTTGAATATGAGTGGTAATACACAGATAGTGTCACATGCTCTGCTTTTCCAGGCACTGAAATACTTTCATGTTCTAGTACCTAAGGCTTGGTCAGAGGGAGATCGGCAAGCAACACCATCGGTGCTTATTTTAACAAATTAAAAAAAAAATCATCATTTGACACCCCAGCACCCAAAGCAAGAAATGTATTTCCTATCTCTTTCACATATATTGCTCACCTCAGTGAAAAGCCCTGAGCGCCCAAGACTGGCAGTGAGGGCCACAGAGCTGTGTGTCTAGAAGGAACTGTGGGCAATCCTGACAAAAAGCAGGTGTAAGAGACACCCAGATGACCCCAGGAGACCCTAGACTGTAAGGACACAGAGAGAGAGCTTGAACTCTGCTCAGTGCTACCACTTCACGGCCAGTGGATGAGCCTCACCTCTCACACTCTCGAGGAAACCATCTCCCGCGCACCAAGCTCTGCCAGAACTATCACACAAGTGCCACATACGCCACCCCACCCCACTTGTTCTTCATAGCAGACCAACTTCTGTCACCTCCCTTCCGGATTACAGTCTGGCTCCAGGCCCCTTGGACGGGCTTCCCTGTGTGGCTCTCTGGGGCTCATCAGTTACTCTGTCATATAAAGAACAAAAAACCCAGTACTAAAAGCCACATAGAAAGGACTGTGTTTATGACACTTGCAATTAAGGGAGGAGGAAGGGAGAAAGGGAAAAAGGAAAAAAAGAGGGAGGAAAGGAAAGAGGGAGGGAGGGAGAAAGGAAGGAAAAGTCACTGTACATTGCGTTTCCATCTCACCATACTTAGAATGGCTTTGTTAGAAAATCAAGTAATGGGACTAGAGAGATTGCTCACTATGTAAGAATGTTTGCCGAGCAACCATGAGGACCACACACCCACACAAGAAAGGGCATCGTGTGTGTATGTGTGTGTGTGTGCGAGCGTGTGTGTGTGTGTGTGTGTGTGTGCGCGCGCGCTCGCGTGCGCTGCTGTGTCTGTATGTGTGTCTTGTGTGTATATCTTGTGTATGTGTGTCTGTGTGCATGTGTGTCTGTGTCTCTGTATATGTGTCTTGTATATGTGTGTGTCTTGTGTATGTGTATGTCTTGTGTATGTGTGTCTGTGTGTGTCTTATATGTGTATGTGTGTGTGTCTGTATGTCTGTATGTGTGTGTCTTGTATGTGTGTCCTTGTGTGTGTCTTGTATGTGTATGTCTGTGTGTGTCTATGTGTATGTCTGTATGTGTGTGTGTTTTGTGTGTGTGTGTGTGTCTTGTATGTGTGTGTATGTCTGTGGTGTGTGTGTGTGTAACATGCTGGTGAAGTACACAAGGGAGCTTATACACTGGAGACGGGAACAGACACTAGTTCACACCCTATGGAGGTGTCTGAGAAACTAACAGCAGATGACCTTGCCTGTGACCCCCGCTGTGTCTGCCACCCCTGGACATTTGCCTTGAGGACATCACAGAGACCTGCACACCAGTATTTGTCTCAGTGCCATTCACTACAGCTGAACTGTGGGGCTGACCAGGAGTCTAGCATCAGAAATGGATGATGCCAGTGCAATTGACCTTCCCGGTGGGTTCTTTCAGCTATGGAGAAGAATGGAGTCACACTGTCTATGGGGAAATGCATACAACAGGAGACAATCATGGGTGCTGG